TTTTTGGATCGTTGAATTATATTAGGATGAAAGGCATGTTGTAGTATACTATAAAAGCTCGACTTTGTGTTACTCCCAATTCTATTTTGAATGACATTCATGTTTTTAGTCAAGTGAATGTTCATAGTTTATTTAGTTATACGAACGTAGTTCTTTTCTTTTACATTGTACATATTATGGTTCGGTGTGTCGGACAGAAAGATCATATTATTTGTTTCTTGTAAATATAAATATATGTTCATAGCCTAGATGAAATTAAACTAACTATTGTGAAAGTTTGTAGTGTGATTTTTGAGTTAGTTGGTCTATCACTAACGAATTACACTATTACGTCTCAAATGTATTGAACATACCTACAAGAGGATAAGATTATTTATGTTGATCAAGTAATTAATCTAGACCCAAGTAATTGTTGCGTTCTATTAACCAGTAAGACACTAACGAGCATATGAATTTGGTTTTTATTTATTTAATTTACCAAGGGCGATACTTATTCAGTTAGGTCGACAGACTCCGTACTTTGGTAAATAATTTTTATTACTTCATGTGCCGTTGAAATTATTTGCGGTCACCATGTCCTGGTGTACTGAGTTGATGACGTCTCTGAAATGAGCTCAAGAAGGATTACTATGTCAAGCTTGCCGATAGATTAATTTTCGACATAATAATAAATAATTAATTGGTACTAGTTTTGGATCAAGAAGTTGATTAATTATATTGTTAATAATTAATTTAATCAACGAACGTTATATCTAAAACATGGAGAGGTAAATCGAGTAATTAGTGGGGAGACAAATTAATTTTTAATTCGGGAGTTAAATGTGGAGTTCAGTAATATTTCTATAGCGGAATGAATATTATTCAAGTATGAATCAAGTGGGCCAAACCCACATTTGAATTCATACTTGGGAGCCCATATTTAGCATCTTCTTAGGGTCCCACTTGTAGCCTATAGATAAACCAAGTCTCTTAGCCTCTAAGGGGATTCCACATGTGCGTACAAGACACGTGAGAAATCATATTTCTCATCTCAGAAAATTCGGCCAAAAATTGAGAGGTCAAAGGAGAGAAAATTGTGAGGCTTTGGGAGTTCCGACGAGTTGCCCACCAATACAAATCGAAGTGATGATTTGTCATACAACAAAAGATCCCAAGGTAGCATGTTCGTTGTATCCCAATGAATATATATATCACCGCGACACATCCCGAGGCCACCAAACTTGGCATCTCCGACCACCGCAAATCACCGGATGTGGCAGCGCACCCAACGAAGGTAGACTCACCATTCTGTGAGGCGACCGACAACCAGTGCGCGACCACCATATCACCACATGTGGCAGTGCAAGGAGACACGCAGCCCATCACCAACGCGACGCGACTTGATGACGGCGACGTACGATGTGGCGAAGCAACAAGGTGATGCACATCACCCACGCACAGAGACACATCACAGCAGCCCTAACCACGCTCAACGATGCATCACAGTAGGCTGACCACGCACTATGATGCTGTTTGTAGTGTTTTTGGGCAATTGGTAATCGAGTTACCCGGACTCGGGTCGTTCTCAAAGGAAGGCTATTCGGACACGGATTCAA